CCCGGCGGGCCCCCTGCCTCTATCTGCAACATCGAAGCTTTCAGCAGTGAGGCGCAGTGACACCACTGGCCACCAGAGGGTGCCAACTACCCATTGACCATTGTGACAACCCCAGTATATAGGGGCAGCTAAAAGAATTACCCCTTCAGCGTAAGGGCCTGAAGCCGATGGGGCTTGGGGTCCTTAAGCTTCCTTCCTGCTTGCAGCTCACTGGAGTGATGTGGTTTGTGGCAGTGACCAGTCTTCTGACCTGCTGGACCTCCCCACCCTGCCAGGCCCAGCCCTTGAGTGACATGCAGTAGGAGGCTGAGTGGAAGCTTAGTTGGTATCTGCTGTTCCCCAGCTGCCTGGCCTGGGCATCTGCTCTTGCTGTGACTAAGGAGCTCAGGAGTCACTCTAATGGGACTGACATGAAGCTCTCAGCCTGCAGCCTGGCAGACCCTGCTTTCCCTTTGCTTTCTATGCTTCTCTCCTCTTCCCCATTCCCTGTTTCTCTCCCTCCCTTCCTCTCTTTCTGGTTCGCATGCCTCTCCCAAGCCCAGAGATGAAGCTGAAAATAGAAATGGTGTTGGTTTCTGAACCGGAAGAGTGGCTTAGGGGTGGGGGTGGGAAGCGGATGTGGGGATGAGTCCAGCATAGAGCTGCCACCTGTTCTGGTCAGTTAATGCGCCTTATTGAAAGGGGCTGGGCAGCTAATGCTGGGCTGTTGTTGCCTCCCCCATGCACTGAAGTGCTGGGCAATGACTGGCATGTTCTAGCTTCCCAGGCTCTAGCTCGTTGCGTTGGTAAAGCAGCCCCAGGGAGACATGGGGACTAGTGCAGGCACAGGAGTTGTACTAGAGCTGGTCAGTCTGACCCAAGACTCCTGCTTGCAGTGCTGAGCTGGGAGATGTGGGTTCAAACCAGCTCTGCCATAGGCCCTGGGCAAAGATGTTTCTTGATATTCCTCAGTTTCTCCTCCCAACCCTTGGCTGGGTGGTCTCATGTCTTGAGCTCCATCGGGCAGGGACTGTGTGTGTCTGCATTCATGTCCATGTCTATACAGCTCCTAGCACAGCAGGGCCCACCACTTCCGTGCAGATGACAGGCTGGGGCAAACTAGGCCACAACCATTTGCCCCTCCTGGTTGCTACCACATTCCCCCTTCAACTCACTACAGCTAGATAGATCTTCGGGGCAGCTCCTTTCTTCATGGAGCCTGCCCCACCCTGGTGACATCTCCTTCAGCACCTGTTCTGTCCCCTCGTATCCTGTCTCAAATGCGTGGGGCATGCTGGGGGTCAGTGGCCAACCCTCCTCCACCCTGAGTTCGCTGATGACAGGGAGGGGCTTGGGGGGAGGGGGGCGGTGTCCAGGCTTAAGGGTCCTCCCAGTGTAATGCAACAGGCTGTGTTTGCTCCCCCTCTCCAGGCGCATGTTCCCGTTTCTCAGCTTCAACCTCACTGGGCTGGACCCCGTGGCTCATTACAATGTCTGTGTTGACATCGTCCTGGTGGACCAGCACCACTGGAGGTACCAAGGCGGAAAGTGGGTCCAGTGCGGCAAGGCAGAGGGAAACATGCCAGGTACGGAGTCCCAAATCCAGAGCCACCCACTCCCATCCCTTTCCTTTCCCCAGCCAGCTGTCTCACTCAAGGGATGAAGGAGCCCAAGTCCCAACATGAGGGAACCCACTGGCTATAAAGGGAAGGGCAGGGCTTGGGGCCATCTCCATCAGGGCTCCCGAGAGAAGCTAGGTGGCCCCCACAAAGTTGGTGCTTCTGCCCTCCCTATACTCACACATGGCACATTGTGCTGGGAGATGCCAGGAGAAGAGGGAGCTAGGAGCTCCCCCACAGCAAGAGCTCCTACACCATCCTCCACAGTGCTTCCCACCAGCTGAGGCTGGAACTGAAGTAGCTGGATGCTCCTCACAGCCAGGGCCTGGGTAGCATCCTCTGCAGCGCTCTCTGCTTGGAGAAGCTGGGCTTGGAGCAGCCAGGTGCTCTTCTACCAGTCCGGCCAGTGACTCCCACTACAGAAGCTGGGCAGAGGACAGAGGGCCCTGTGACCAGAACAGCCATGGCCAGGCTCTCAGGGTTATAATTCCCAAGTGGGAGCCAGGCAGGTGGGGAACACTCCCTTCCCATCCATAAAATGGGACAGATTTTGATTAATTCCCCTTGTTCTGGTCCAGGCTGCACCATGCTAGCCCTTTTGTGATAACCCAAGTAATAAGAAGCAGGAGGACACCCCTCCCTTCTGCCTTACCTGCTTGGTACATAGAGCTTCTCCCTTCACCTGCCCCTTTCCCCTGCCTCTGTTTTCTCCTGTCCTTACATGGTCCCAGCAGGGAACTGGCTGCCCTTGACCTCTGTGGCATTCCCAGGAGCTGGGGCTCCCTCTCATGGGCAGAGGAGGTTGTGCAGCAGTGCCCCAGTATCCTGTCTTTGTGCCCCCTGGTGTGAGGGGCCCAGGTTGTTCCCTGGCTGCCTGTGCAGCTCAGCCCATCCTGGTTTGGGGTAGAAGCAAGGGGGAATTTCCTCCCTTGGCAGAGAAGATGTGATGGTTGCGAACTCGCAAGTGGTGCTCTGCCACTGGGATCCATGCTCTGAGTGGAAGGTCCCAGCCTAGGGGCTCTAGCTAGTAGGAGGGGGCTCTGAGGGGCTAGCCCAGAGCTAAAGGGTATTGGGTGGAGGGAGAGGAGTTAGCTGGCGGGCCAGGGGATGGTGCAGTGTTAACCAGGGGTTGCCTTGCAGGTAACCGGCTGTACGTCCATCCTGACTCCCCCAACACCGGCGCCCACTGGATGCGCCAGGAGGTCTCGTTCGGGAAGCTCAAGCTCACCAATAACAAAGGGGCATCCAACAATGTCACCCAGGTAACAGCTTCCTCCACCTGGTCCGGGGCTGGCACTACCTCCTGCCACAACACCATGCAGAACTCCCCAGTAGGATGCTAACATTGGTGCCAGCCAGGACCCCAACTGTGTCACCAGGTGATCTGTCAGGGCACTGTTTGAACATCCTGAAGAGAATCCCACATGCCCTCAGCAGCCCTCAAAACTTTCTGGTGACTCAAGCTGCTGCCTGCTTTTCTCCACTGGCTTTTCAGTGCTACAAACTGCCTTCTCCCCAGTGTCTTCCCTCCACTGCCAGGTGCTGACTTTTGCTACTCAGTTTACCTGTGGAACTCACTGCTGTATGAGAGCAGTGGAGAGAATATCGCACCCTGTGGGCCATGAGGTCACTGTTCTATTCCTCCCCCACCAAAGTTGCCCAATGGGGATGATGTTGGCCCATGGGTCCAAGTCCCTGATGCCCCCTGTTATCAACACCCCTCACCCAGTTGTGCGTTGCCTCCACAGATGATTGTGCTGCAGTCTCTGCACAAGTACCAGCCCCGGCTGCATGTCACTGAGGTGAAGGATGGTGAGGGAGATGAGTCGTACCCCTCTGCCCGCACCCAGACCTTCACCTTCCCCGAGACTCAGTTCATCGCCGTCACAGCCTACCAGAATGCCGATGTAAGTGCAGGAGGGGTGGAGAGAGTGCCTCCCCGTTGTGGTAGCAACTCCTTGAGGGAGGGGCAGGGGTACAGCAGCCACCAGAGGGTACTGTGCCAAGAAGGGCACTGTGGCTGCTGGAAGCTATGGGTGGGATGGTGGCTGGAGCATCGGACCACACCCCATACACACTCAGCCTCTCCAGTGTGAACTGTCCACAGCCCAGACCCCCTGTCAGGCTGGGATGGGCAGGGTGGGCACTGAGGGAGAGCAAGGGGGTGGGCCAGGACACTGCAGGGGCTCTACTGCTTATGGGTGGGTTACCCAGGGTTTAGGGTGCAGGGAGGTGGGAGGTTGCCTTGGCTCCTACTCTCTGCCCCTCCCTTGCCTCCCAACATAGACACTCTCCCAGGCTCTGCTCTGTCCTTTCCAGATCACTCAGCTAAAGATCGACCACAACCCCTTTGCTAAAGGCTTCAGGGACAACTTTGATTCGTGAGTATCTCCCTTCTGTCCACCTGATATTCACTCCAACTTCATCCATACCTCAGATCCCCTAGGGAAGAACTTCCCCTGCCATTTCCCAGCCTTTTTCTCCTCCCACTTCTAAAAAATGGCTGGAGGCCCAGGGCTGGATCTTCCACTGGTATAAATCCTTCTTTGTGGGAGAGATGCCAATGTACAGCCCCTTGGCTTCTGGCTCATAATTCCTTGCTCCCCTGCTCCCTGCATCACTCTTGAGCCTCACTTCAACACAGCCTCAGGCTCTGTCTCAGAAGTTGGGCCAGCCATCCAGGCAGGTGCCCCTGGGCAGGCTCAGCTTCTCTCCTCGGTTTCCTGTACAAGGATATCCCTGTTGCTCAAGTTTGGCCTTTGACCTAGCGTTAACCCTGAGGGCTTTCACCGAGAGGGCAGGCAGGCACCTGGGGCATCTCAGATTTGGGCTCTGAGATGGAGCTGTGGGCCCTTCTGCCCTTCACCCCTGGGCAGAGATGCAGGCTAGTGCTGGGAACAAGGGCTCCAGTGACACAGGGGTCTTCCCGCTAGCTTCAGAAGAGGGAGGTCTATTCAACCTCTGTGGCACACTCAGTGCTTTGTGCTTGCCAGCAAACTCCTCCCATCTCTCCACTGAGTGGAGCTAGAATCCCTTTCCACCCCTCAGCTTGCCTCACTTCATCTCCCAGCCTGCAGCACCACAGTCCAGGACTAGATTTCAACCCAGAGCAAGAGACACCCACCTCCACTCATCACCACTGTCCCCTAAGACGTCCATCTTTACCACCACCACCACTGCAAGGTCCCATTTGACCCCTGGCCCATCTCTATTGCACCCTTCCCTCCCGCAGGATGTACACGACATCAGAGAGTGACCGTGTCACCCCGTCCCCACCGGCAGCTGCCAGCTGCCAGCAGCTCCTTCCTGGCAGCCGCTTCCAGTCCTTCCTGCACGACCAGTACCCGCTGCCCCAGAGCCGCTACTACAATGGAGACCGGGCACCACCCCTGCCTCTACAGCACAAGGACCCTCCCCGCTGGTACTTCACCTCCCAGCAGCCCCCCACCCCCTCCCTGGATTACGGTACCTATGAGGGCAACTACTCTGGGAACAAGTACATGTCCTATGGCGTCAAGCCCTTCACCCTGCAGGCATCAGCCCACCCGACACTGCCCTACTACCAGGATCACCACCCCTTCAGCTCACCCTCTGCCTGGACCCCTGGTCAGTATCACCCCAAGCCCAGCCCAGGGGCACTGAGCTGGTTCCAGCCCATGCGGGACTTGCGGCCGCTGCCCCCAGGGGAAGAGAAGGGGAAGGATGCAGAGCTGTGGCCTGAGCCAGCCTCGGTAAAGTCAGCCGATTCGTCGGACTCTGGGCTGTATGATGCAGAGTGTAAGCGCCGCCGCCTCTCACCCTATGTCTCCAGTGCCGAGAGCTCCCCTCCGGCTCGAAATGGGGACCTCTACGACAAAGAAGGGGGTGGAGATGCCGGCTACTATGGTTTCTATGGCAACTGAGGACAGGCACATGCTTGTGAGAGAGGCGAGGACTCAGCGATTTCTATGTGATGTTAAAATAAGTTCCCTCTCACAAACCCTCCCCAGCCCCCAGGTCCTATCAGGTTGCCCCAGGAAAAGGTGATGTTGGGGGGAGGGAAGCAGGAGCAGCAATACAGCTGGAAGGCTGGGTTGTAGTCTCACTGGTCCGTTGCTGATCAGACCCCTCCCCATCCTCTCTTGCACACTTCAGAGACCTCTAGGCGCACACCAGTCACTGCTGGGTGTGTCAACACCTTTACCAGTGTGCTGATATGAGTGTAAGTGTGTGCTCATGCACAAATGCACTGATGTGTGCATGTGTATACATGAACCATGTGTGCACATGAATCTGGGTACACTCAAGTACGCACACACTCCTTTCCCCATCTTAGTGCATAAGTCCAGTCACCCAGTGTATGGGTACACTTTTGCGTGCCAGTAGTGGTGTGTGCACACCAGCATAAGCACAAGTGGGCTCGGCTGTGTTCATAAATGGGCTCACGACCAAGAGCATTTGCACAGTCAAGCACAAGAAGGCAGTTTTGCACACACCCACTCACACCTGTGCTTGTGCTCCCTGGCTCTCTCTGGCATGTGCCCAGATGCAGAGAATTGCACAGTACAAGTGCATGTTCTCGTGCACAAATGTCCTGATATGGGTGCACAAATGTCCTGATATGGGTGCTCACACCAACCACAGTGCAAGGAAGAGGCACTGCACTGTGTCAGGTTGGCATGAGCCAAAGCCTGTAGGCCCCATTAAGCAGCTGCCATCCCTAGCCCTATCACTCCTTGCTGGCAGCAGCAGGAGAAGAAATGATGCATGATCGGCATGGACCCTAGCAGGAGACAGCTTGTGGCCTGATTCCCTTATTTACGAGATGTGCCGCCTTCCAGGTGCTTGCCATAAAGCTGGGCTTGCTGCCTCTGCTCATCCAGAGCAAAAATTGCCCTCAACTACTGTAAGTGTCACCACTCCTCAAGGCAACAGCTCTTG